AGATCTTGCATCTTTGTATCACCTGCATTGTGCACACTAATCTCTCTCACAAAGACTTACTCTCTCAGCAGTCACAAGGTTGTTTTTTTAATTAACATTATTCTACAAAATCAATGTTTACTACTTCTCTCCAAAACATGGATTTGAAGACTCAATATTACACTGACCTGAGGCCCATGATAGGCAAAACTTAGTCTTAGGTCTGTGTCCAGTTTATGGTCTGATACCCCAAATCCTGCAAGGCTATGTACAGGAGGCAAGCTTCTCAGCCCTACACTGTCCCTTTCAGAGATGCAAAAGGGGGTGGAAAGTTGGCTTAAATAGCCAAGTGGGGATTCCCTAGCATAGAAGAATGCCCCTGTGGCATAAAATCAGCATAGCTGACTATTTCACCAGCTATTTGCAAATGATACAGCTCTATGATAGAGTTCAATGTCCTGATATGACCCAGCCCAATATATGCACCGAGAATTCAATACCTTTTGGGGTCATGTGGTTACCAAGCCCAACACAAACTATTTCAGGTAGCTAAAAGAACTGATTAGCTAGGGCTAATACTATTCAGAGAAAGCAGGCCTTTCCTTGTTGTTTGTGGGTAACTTTGGGAATATTGGGAGTCAAGCTACAGTCTTTACTTCATTGTTCTACCAGCTTCAACAGTTTTAAAACTCACAACAGAAACAAATATAAAGAGCTGGCTGTGAAAGAAAAGGTTATCAAAATTACAGGAGATGTATAATTTGCTGTACAGTACCTCTAATTTTGTAAAGATCTCTAAAGTGTCAGAAGGAAATAAAGCTTTTAAAAGTGATTCTGTCATCCCAATCTGTGTCTTGGCCAGGTCAAGGTCCCCTTTTAGCTCTGTTGAATTGCTGTTAAGTTCACTGGGTCTCGTCTTATTCAGTAAGTGCTTTCTTATTAGCTCCATTTTGTTCTCAACCGATGACTTGATGACCTTAAAATTGGAAATGCACAAGCAGTGTAAGAAGTTTTACTGGACTAGTTTTCTACAAAATGGGGCTCAAGAGAGTTTATTACTTCTTATACTTAACCTTTCTACATTAAATTGCATTTTCCTCCATTTGAAACTACTGTGTTTTCTTTTTTTCTTATCTCTGATAGTTTAAAAAAAAATCTCATCCTACTTTGAGAATGTTGCTACTGCTTTAGTGAAGTTTATCTGTTGATATATTAATACTCCTAGCCAGGGCTGTCCTTAGGATTTATGGGGCCCTACGCAGTACTATTAAACTGTTGCCCCATGCCTGATGGCAGCAGGAGGGGGGGATGGGACAACAATTCATTCAGAAATGTGATTTTATAATCTTCAGCAACACACTAATAAAATATTTTTAACTCAGGTCCTGTAGATTAACACAGTAAATTCAGAAACTCACTGTGTACACCTGGAGTAGACAAATTCCTGCTAAATGGCTTCCTTGCCACTTGAATGGCTCTTTCACAGATTCACTGTTCTGCTAGTGAATTCACTGTTCTGGCAGGCTTTCACTTTTCAAGTTAACTACACCCTCTCTGGAGGAAGCAGAGCCACAGATAGGAAGAGGCAGCTGGGTGGGCATTAAGACGCACTGGTGCCCCAAATGTTTGGGTACCCTATGCAACTGCATTTGGGTAAGGATAGCCCTGCTCCCAGCTGCACATGGATGCTAATCTCTTCTCTACTTCTGGTAACCAAGAGACAGACATCTCTGATCCAGCCACCAACCTTCTACCCTGTCCAAGTCATCCTATGGAAGCAATACCACCAGAGCACCATGTGGCTCCACTGCAGGCTTCCTAGGACACAGCAAGGAAAGGATGGAGCAGAACAAGTCCCCATCGCCTCACAGCAACAGGACCACGGCACAGCCCTTCTGGCTCCACAGAAATAGCCCTGCAAAGTTGCTTACAATGGTCATGTCCTCATCACAAAACAACATCCTTGTGTGCTGGGGCACGCAAGCAGCTCAGCCTGCATTGCACAGGGGTTGCAGACCCCCTACATAAAGTCACCACATCAATTCAGCTTCCTATTAGAAGCATGTGCCCATGTGGGAGGAAAGCTTTGTCCTACCTATGAAACTAATGCACCAAAGCAAAATATTTATATTCACTTCATACAGAACCTACATGAGAAGAGCATAATAAATCCCATGGACATGTTAAAAGTACATTGCAAAGTAGCTTGTTGCTTGGCTGGAATTCCCCTTGGTGCAAAGAGGCTCTACTTTGCCCTTTACTTGAAGTACAGGCAGTCCCCAGGTTACGTACAAGATAGGGACTGTAGGTTTGTTCTTAAGTTGAATTTGTATGTAAGTCGGAACTGGTACATATTGTAGGGGAAACTCTAGCCAAACATTTCTCCAGAGCTCAGTTTTATTCTCCCACACCTCACTTCCCTCAGCCCTTTATTCTCAAGCTGAAGTGTCTGCTGAGAAAAGCCGCTCCGCGTCTCCCTGGTCTGCTGGGGAGGGGCGCTAGCTTCGCGTCTCCCTGGTCTGCTGGGGGGAAGCAGCTAGTGCGGGGTTGCCTCACCCCGTTTGTAAGTAGGGATCCAATGTAAGTCGGATCCATGTAACCCGGGGACTGCCTGTAGTGGCTAACTGCCTAGTCATACTCTCCTGGCAATCCATTAGCTATAAAGGAAGTCAGACCAGGTCCTAAATGCCACGGTTTGGTCCCAGGATAGCAAGGGACAGATTGAGCCCTTAATGTTTAAAAATACCGATTTGGTTCTGATAGTTTACTTGAAAAAGTGGCAAATTAAATGTTGATCCTAATATCCATCAGAAATATCTCATTTCTGTGGGCCAAGGCAAATCAAACATAATGACTGCGGTGAACGGGATGCTAACAGCTAGATTACAATGATCAATGATATCATGTTAACCATGAAAGTCATCCCTTACCTGGAACTCCAATGGAGGCTCATTATTATGAAGAAGATGCTGTATCTCAGCCACTTTTCGGTCAAATTCCTCTAAGTTTTGCTCTTGGACCTGTAAAGAAGTCTAAAGGAGGAATGAGGGGGCACACCAATATACCTGTAACTATATGATTCTGTGTCAAATTTAATTCCATTTTCCTACTACAACATAATGATAATATTATCCAGTGTGCTAAATTCCCTTTCAGATTTCTGTTAGAGTTATGTGTGAAATGAGTCCTATATGACAAATACAGTGCCATAATTTCAAATTCTTTGTACCAACAGTAAGAAAATCCAGTTTCCAGTGCCTAGGAGTTTAAAAAACACAATCTAGAGCAGATGAAAAACCTGGATAATATTTTAATTTTTCCATAGCATAGTTGCTATTGTAGAAAAAGAGTCTTAATTTTATACTTAATTCTTAATTGTCAAGTCAAAATATACCCTAAAATACACTCTGAAGACACAGACTAACACAAGAATTATTAAAATCATTATAAATTAGGGGCAATGCTTTAAGCTGAACTGATGATATTTCATAATACTCTCTGCATCTGTGTGGAATTCCAGGTATATAATGACCTAATATAACACCTATTAAAAGTCTTAGGCATAGGATCAATCTATCAAAATTTGATTGTCCACATTACAATACTCAGGGTCAGCTTCAATTTCTGAAACATGTGCTGTCAGAAACAGTCTACATGTCATATTAATGAATCCATGTTCCTTGTTCACTCAAAGCAAAATATTCCTTATTATTCTCCTTCTCTATCTACTTAGAGAGAGAGTCATTTCTGTCCACTGACACATTTTAGTTCTCGCAAAAAGGCATTTCCAATTTCATGCCAGCAACATAAAGAATATAAGAAAGCTGTGCAATTTCCTTCATGTAATTTATATGGAAAGCTTTTAAATGGGCTGTAAAATATTTCACCATCTAGCTTGTGTCATACTAAACTTTTTGGAAACATATACGCTTACTTACTCAACTGCATTGCTCTAATGGAGTTGTGATTAGTATGCAATATTAACCCTAATCTTTACATATAGTTCAACAGTTTTATTGCACAGTCATGCAGAATCTTTTATGGTAAAGGAAAAACGGCATAAAAAGCTCAGATTCCATAGGAAATTATTCAAGTTTTAACACTAATTAACCCATAATTATGCAGATCAGTTCGTCTTCCTTGCCTGATCTCTTTTGCTGCTGAATAGGGGGATGAAAACTGACTCTCTCTTCCCTGTTGAAGGTTTTCCTCACATAAGGGACTCCACTGTACGTGTAAACTCAGCATAGTTCCTAGTAAAGGAGGCATGCCAGTGAAGTTACCATGGCATACTGTGCTTCAACAATTTCTAGGTGATAAAATGGCTCTTCAGAGACAGCTGCCAGCTGGGGTACTTTAGAGCAGCCCAGAGTTATTCTAAGGTCAACAAAAATATGAAAGTAGCAATATATAAATTAAAACATTACACTCCCGTGTGCACATGCTCAGGGCTTGTCTACATAAACATATTTTGTGACAAGTTGGGGTTTCAATCTACCCTGCATCGATCTGTCCTATGGTCTCTTCTGACATGAATTATTAGATCTAGTCACATTTCAAAAAAGGACTAAATCAAAGTGCATTAACAAACCAATAGATTTCCCAAGATCTGCATCTTATGCAATTAATTCAGCAAAACTGCCTCTGAAATAGCAGAGACAATTACAAATTTCAAGACTTTCTCTGTATATCATTTGACATTTAAAAACAATATGTACCTTTATGCCCTACAAATCCTTAACATGTTGGAATGAGTTTGTTGCGTTTAATTTGACTAGCATTATCTCAGTCAAATTACCTTCAATTCTGTCACCTCCTCTTCAGTCAGCTGATGTTCTTCTATGCTTCTAAGCTGTGTATTTGCCCAGCTGTCAGTCTTGCTGAATAAATTAATAAGTTTGTCCCACAAAGCCAGAGCTCTTCCCAAATTATCACAATAGTTTTCAGTTTTTTCATTGATCTACCACAAATTAGAAAAAAGGTAACATTCTAATGAGAAAGGCAGTATCATAAAGACTAGATGAAATGGAACCACACAAATAAACAAGGGCAGTAAGTGAACAAAAAAATCTCATATGGCTTCATTGTGCATTGGTGACAGAGAAGATATTTCTATCTGTTACAAATATTACTTTCAGGAATACTATATCAAACTCAGTGGCTTGTCTCCAGTTTAAAAAACAGGTTTAGCAGCATGACTTGCTAATCAAATTTTATCTTCTCTCAATTAAAAAAAATAATCTCAGAATCAATGACCTTCTTAGACTACTACTTGCAGACACTTCAATTTCTTACCAATTGCACAAGCACCATAATTCCCCATTCTGTTTCCAAAGTCTAAACCAAGAGAGGTTTCTATGAAAGCTTAAAAATCCAACCAGCAACAGCAAATATTGCCTGCTTGTATGACCCAGAATTGTCCATTGTAGGAGTATGCCCGTGACAAATATAGCCTTATAGATCACAAACAATGAGATTGAAGACATAGTCTAAGCTTTGCTTAAACACTTGACTTTATCTCTTAAGATTCTTTGACATTCTGCATTTAATTTATTCTAAATATTACATGCAAGTCAGAATCAATTACTATAATGCATCACAGATAAGATCTCCCTGATAATTTACTTTTTACATACATCGAGCCATCTGTCCACAATAATGTCAGCCTCATTCTGAAAGGGAGACTCCTCAAAGCTTCTCATTTTATTGAGCTGGAAGTGAAGGTTTTTGCAGATCTGATTTATTTTTTCTACATCTTCAGAGTGATCATTAAATTCTTCTTTAACCACTTCAATCTGTGAGAAAGAGAGAATGTGTATTTGAAAACAAGTGTCCTGTATTTGGTCAAAGCTCTTGTTTCTCCAGCAATTTTTGGGGGGTCCACTATCATGCTGTTCTTTTCAATTTAGCAGCACAGCAGCATGACTCAAAATAATCCATTTTATATAATACAGTTAGACTAGGAATCCATCCTCTATCACTGTATCCCAGTGATCTGAACATCCCACCTGTCACTCTAACTACATCATAATATATAGACTGTACATTTCTAAATGAGGAATGTTGAACATTGGTTTACAAATAAGTTTGTTTGTATCTCATTAAACAGAATTTGTCTGAAACAAATAAATAGCCAGAGACATCAAGAGTGAATTACATCTAAATACTGTTTTAAATGCAGAATGAAACAATATACTGAGTAACAATAATCTGATTCACATCAACCTTTGAGAGATATAATTTGTAATTTTGATTCTCAGTCTTATCTCTGCTTGCTCCTAAAAATAGGAGTTGTCAAAATAAATCCATTTGGTTTAAACAACATACTGCCATGCATTTAACTTATTATTTATCTAAAAACAATTCCTTAGCACACAAATGTAATATCCGTGAATATTTATAAACAACATTTGAAAATGAAGGAAATGAAATAGTGACCTCTAGTGTTTCAAATTTGATTAAAAAACATTAATGGATCTATCTTTTCTCTCCAGGCAATGTTCTCTTTAGGGTATGTCTACATTGCAATCTAAGCGCAGGGTTTGAACTCTCCTCAATCCTAACCCCACCTCGCAATTTACATACAAATCACACTAACCCAGGGCTCAGAATTAGGACTCCAAAGGGGTAAAGGTTTAGAACTTGAGCCAAGCTAGGACCCACAGTTCAAGTCTTATTATTCTGCAGTCTAGATGCAGCCCCACTGGACTCCTGCTATTGGAGTCTGCCAAAAGAATCCCATAGACCAATTTCCTTTGTTTTCTCGACAATCTAATTTGGGGACTGTCAAATTCTCCCACAAAGAGCTAGAGTGGGCACATTTTGGAAGGCTGCTAGAAGTCTGGGATATGCGTGTTTGCACTGAAGCCGGCATAATGCAGGGTATACATAGGAGCCCCAGGGCTCAACAATCCTAACTTGAGGATACAGAGAGCGTAGAGGCTCAGGCCTAGATAACAAACACAACACCCAATAATGCAAGTTCTACTAATCTTGGTCTCTTGTTACTGCACTGTAAACATAGCATAGTCCCAGCTAGTCACTAAGAAAGAGACAAGGAGAAGGTTTTGCAGCCCACAATGGGAACAGACTTTCTGTCCTACTATTTGATGGGAAAGTAACTGTGACAGCACTCTATTACTTGACCGCATACCCATATTGTGATCCATCTGTTACAGGCTCCAGCCCTTTTAAACTGGGAGCTGTACACACGAGGCATGTGATTATGAGCAAGCATGCGACCTACAGAAAACCAGATTTTCTGTCAAATTTCATTTCCATTTTCCTACTAGTGTACAGTGATAATATTACTAATGTACTGATCCCGTGTGCCAAATTCCCTTTCGGATTTCTGCAGGAGTTGTGTAAATTATTTCAGAACCAGTCCTATTTATGACAAATACAATATTGCAAGTTAAATTTTTTTTTGTATCAATAGAAAGAAAATCTAGCTTTCCAATGCCCAGGAGCTAAACAAACACAATCTAGTGCAAATGAAAAATCTGGATTTTTTCCATAGCTGCTATTATAGACAAAGGATCTTAATTTTGTACTTAATTTTTGATTGCTAAGTCAAAACATTCCCCGACATACTTTCAGAAGACAAAGACTAAATCATGAAGTAACACAACCCTGATGATATTCTAAAGGCAGTACTTTAGGTTGATTTGGTATTTCATGTTACTGTCTGCAAGTGGATTTCCAGGTATCTAGTGGTTCAGTTCAACACCTACTGAAATCTTGGGCATTGGATCAGTCTATTGAAGCCCTACAGACATCTTTACTGCTTAGGATCTCAGTCTGGCATCTTATCTTAAAGTTAGGAATGTGAACAGGTTCCTGGTTAACTAGCTACCCAATAAGTATCATCCTTACTGGTTAACCCCCACCTAGGCCGTTCCAGCCTGACCGGGCCCACCGGACAGCTGGTGGAGGGCTGCTTCAGCCTGTCTGGGCCCATCATATTGCACTGCGGATAGGGGGCTGCTGCAGTGGCCCCTAGCATGGCGAGCTAGTTAACCAGTTACAAATATAGTTTACATCCCTACTTAAAGTTCACACTTTCAGTGGCACAGTGCCCCTTTCCTCTGGCTGTAGCACTAGATCAGTACAGACTTTGAGGGAAGTGTCATCTCTTGACTCATCACTTCCATCAGGAGCTATGGGTTTCTTAAGAGTTCCTTCCCCCAAGTACCCACTATGTTCCACATTTAGCTTGACATATGATATGGGCAAGCCACATCACTCCTTTGTGCCTCAGTTTGCCCACTGCAAAATGGGGATAATGATACTGACCTCCCTTGTAAAGCATTTGGAGATCTACTGATGAAAAGTGCAGTGTAAGAGCTGGGCATTATTACTGCGCTGTGCATACAATCAACATGAACAGTACTGGAAGGTATGCACTTGCACTGAAGAGAATATTTTTAAACTCTGCTGAACAGCACAATTACGGCTGGGGAGTGACCACTTACTCCCTCTACGTCAGCCATAACCTTTGGTGTGGAATCAGCTGATGCATACCTTATTGTGAATGCTTAACAGTTAGCAGACACCACAATGATGGCTCTTGAGACTGAATATCTCAGACAAGTTTTCTTCTCCATACCGAGTGTGAGCCAGGAGGAGAAAGTGATGAAATATGAACTCTTGGTTCTATCACTGCAAATGCCCTCCCCACACAATCAAATCTGGAGATTGCTGCCAGGGTACCTTCCTCCCTGGGTTTCAGAGCCCAAACTCCAGCCTGAGCAGGAATTTCAAAGTGCTGTCTACACAGCTATTTTTAGAGCACTAGCATGAGTCTGGATAATCCACCTGTTGGGAGACTTGCTCCTATGAGCTGTGCAAACATACCCTTAGAGGTACAGCCCTGAATCTCACCCAAGGTATTTCACGTAATTCCTCTGAACAAGGAAACAAAGCAATTAGCTGGGTGATACGTAAGGACTATAATTTTCATCTTCTGTTAACGTACAATCATATCAGAAGTAGGGATGTTAAATTTTGATTAATCAAATAACCGAGTAGTAGATGGAATTTCCATCAACTATTCAATTAGTCGATAAGGAGTGTGGTGAGGTACTTGCTATCCCGGCTGTGCCTCTGCCTTTTAAATGTAGTAAGAACCATCCATGGGGCCCTTACTACATTTAAAAGGCAAAGGCACAGCAGTTGGATTGGCAGTCGGACCCTGCAGACATACCCTCTTGCTACATTTAAAAGACAGAGGCACAGAAGTTGGACCAGCATGAGTGGGGAACTGCTTCAGTCCCTCCTCACGCTGTTTCCCCACTGTGCCTCTGCCTCCCCTGCCACCCTCCCCACCGAGACGGTGCTGAGGGGAACCGGCTTTAAAGCAAGCTCCTCACAGCACTGGTTACTGGTCTCCCCACCTCTTCCTGCCTCTGATACAGAGGCAACAAGGGTGAGTGGAAGCGACTAGTCAAGTAGTAACTCGACTACCTGATAAGCCTATGCTCATTGGGAAGTCAGGTAGTCAACAAGTCGCTTACATCCCTAGTCGGAAATTTCTCTGAAGGGGTCCACAATTATCACTTGTAATATTAAGTTCATTACATGTTGTGGTAAAAAGGGTTTGTTTTCAACTTGTTTCATTTGAGCATTTAAAAGTTATAAAATAAAAGGATTTAATAAATAAAAAATGGTGGAAAAATGGGAGGATATTTTAACACAGCACGGCTCAAATACCTGCCCCCATTGATGTCACTGGGCATTTTGATATTGTCTTCAATGTGACCAGGGTTTCATCCTGTCTCTTTTACATTTTAATGAAAAAACCCCACATATTTAATACGAGTTTAGTTTACTGTATAAAGTTAAAGAGAAGCCTAATGCAAAAGCCTGGTTCTGGACACCCACTTACTCTGAAATAGTCTGGGGCTAAAACCAGACCCATGCCTCTTCTTTGCCACTTGATCCTACACCTATAATGGGGTGATCGACAAACCACATCTGCACTCCCGCAAATTTTGGGAGGATCAAATCCAGATTTAAACTTTCCAATGAGAGCCTTTACCTCTAAAAAACTCACCTTTGCTATCATTCTCTGCAGATTGTCTTTCCCCATATAAGAAGTTTGCTGTGAAAGGACACACTCTTGTTTCTGGATCATGATTATCAGACTATTTTTGCAGCTTTGATATTGTTTCAGGAGCTCCAATGCCCTCTCGCACTGCTCTTGGCTATTAAAAAGCAGAATGATTTAATGTACATGTATAAAGGAACAGCTTCAACCCCTCCTCTCTTCCACACACATGAAAGTGACATTAGTAACTTCAATTTCTATTGCACATTTCATTCTGAAGGATCATTTCACCCACCAATGGGATGGAACCCAACAGCTATTCAACCTCATTCTGGAAAGTTTCAGAACAGTTTTAGACAAGAATCTTAAAATGTCTCCTCAAACTCAAACTGCAGGAGGAACTCGGTACACAAAATGCTATTACACAAACTGAAATTTGAGCAAGCCAATGGGATTAATTTACAGTAACTGCCATGGGACCTTTAAGGTAGTATTTTCAAGGCTACTTAGGGGATTTGGCTGTGGCATCTAAATCCCATAGACAGCTCTGAAAATATCATCTTTACTGTTTAGGATCTCAATCGGGCATTTCATCTTAAAGTTCACATCTTCTGTAGCACAATGCCTCTTTCCGGTAGCCGGAGCCAGTATTGACTTTGAGGGAAGTGTCACCTCTTGACTCAACATCGCTTCCATCAGGAACTAGGTGTTTCTTAAGAATTCTTTCCTCCAAGTACTTGCCATGTTCTATACTTAGCTGGTCATATGATAGGGTTACAGGATTGCAATAATTTTTTAAAAGGTGAATATTTTCCTAGTTCTAGTAGTACACCAGAAATGGCTTCTTTTTCCCCCTCCCTCCTAAGCATAGTATTTACTGTCAAGTATCTCTGTTTAAGGCCTTTTGATTTTATGAGAGATTATTATTTATATGACCCACCTAAATTTTTCATTCTTCCCCCTTACCATTCAGCAAGTGATAGTTTTGTATCCTCCCATAACCGTTCTGTGACTGTGCACTGTTCATCTGCTTCTTCTCCTTTTGTCTCGTCATTCTGTAGAAGCTTGTTAGCAATTTCTCGTATGGATTTCATTTCAATAGCAAAGCAACCCAATTCCTGTTCCAATTGTGTTAATGATTTTATCCTTTGAGAAAGAAATAAAATATACTCCTATATTGAAACAAATCATAGATTTTTTTCCCAAACCCTAAGTATGAGGTTTCTTTGAAAATTCATCATAAACGGCATACATTTACTAAACAAACATTAAATGGGAAAAACCTTTATTAATGTAGAGAATTAAGGCTGCCTGGTGATAGCTCGTGCCCTTCCACAATGTCAAGTTCACCATTAACTCAAACTTCTGAAAAACAGGAAATACAGGCAGTCCCCAAGTTACGCAGATCCGACTTATGTCGGATCCGCACTTACGAACCGGGCTTTTCGCGCCCCGGAGGATGCGGGCGGTGGGACCGCCCAGACGCGCCGAGGTCCCGCTGCCCTCATCCTCCGGGGCGAGAAAAGCTGCTCCGCGTCTCCCTAGTCTGCTGGGGGAGGGGGGGGC